CCCCTGGGTTGAATCCCTAGCACAATGAAAAGAACATAGATTCTGAGTCAAATTGCATATGTTGAAATTGCAGTGCTACCTCTTATTGAATGAAACTTGAGACATAGAATTCTGTGTTTCAGTTTTTTTATCTGTAGAATAGGGATGCTTAATAGGTTTTTTCATTGTTATTATAAAGATTAAAGAAATAAAAGTATAGTCAACTCTTTCCTTATAAACACTTCAAAAGTGGGACAAAAGCACAGTTGTCACAGTATTAGAAGTTTGTCATGTTATAATTTAATAAGATTTGTATACTCTTAAAATTAATTCTTTAAAGGAAACCAAAACTCTACAGCATTAAATTAAAATTTCTGGAGTCTTAAGTAAAAATAAAAACAAAAAAATCCAGAGAACCACATTTTTCTTCATATTTTTATTTTATTTTTGGTACTGGAGATTGAACCAGGGGCATTCTAGCCCTTCTTCTTTTTTTTTTTTTTAGTTTTTTTTTAGTTTTAGGTGGACACAATATCTTTATTTTATTTTTATGTGGTGCTGAGAATCAAACCCAGTGCCTCACACATGCTAGACGAGCACACTACCACTTGAGCCACATCCCCAGCCCCTCCCCCCTTTTAAAAAAGTTTTTTTTAGTTATAGATGGACATAATATCTTTATTATTCTTTTTTTATTTGTTTATTTTTACGTGGTGCTGGGGACCGAACCCAGAGCCTCATGCATTGGAAGCAAGTGCTCTACCACTGAGCTACAACCCCAGCCCCTCCAGCCCTTTTTATATTTTATTTTGGGACAGGGTCTTGCTAAGTTGCTGAGGCTGGCTTTATTTAACTCATGAACCTCTTGCCTCGACCTCCTGAGCCACTGAGAGAGAACTACATTTTTACAAGTTGTGAATTAAATAGTTTTTTTTTTTTTTTTTTTTTTTTTCAGAGAAGTGGGCTTTTCTTTCAATTCAAGGGCTATTTGAGAAAGTGTTTATTATGTGTTTTTGTCATTGTCTAACCCAGTGAAGTTTTTTTTGGTTGCTTTTTCTTTGCTAAAGAGCAGTAGAGATATAAATCTAATAATGGAACCAAGAGAGGTGGAATTGTGTGCAGTATGTGTATGTTTGAGGGGTTAGCTAGATAGCTGAAATTGTTGTCATTTTTTTTAATCCCTTCCTTTTTTCATGTCTAATGTTGATTCCTCCCACCACCACCCTTCCAGCCCCACTATTGTAAATTATAAGGACTGTTAGAAGTTTATTTAACTGATATTCTATCTGGATAGGTATCTCTTAAGATAATTGTAGTGCCATTATGTTGAATATGTCACCTATCATAGATTTTAATGTTTCATTGAGCCCTTTTCATAAATTGAATGTGTGTTCAAGTATTTCTGTGAAAGGCCTTAATCCTGTGTGTGATAATAATTGTACTTTAACATATGCTTCCCCTCCTTCCACCCCATTACTGGGAATTGAACCCACGGGTGCTCTACCACTGAGTTACACTTCCAGTCCTTTATATTTTACATTTTGAAACTGGATCTCACTGAGTTGTCCAGGCTGACCTCAAACTTGCAATTCTCTCTCAGACTTCTGAGTAGGTAGGATTTACAGGTTTGTGCCACCATGCCTGGTTATGATCATTTTCAATGGACAATAATTTTGACCTCAAATCCCCTTTTCTTTCCCCAAACCTTAGTGCAGGGGATTGAATGCAGGGTCTGACATAGTAAGTATGCACTCTACCAATGAGCATATCCCCAGCTTCCCTCCACTTTCAAGAAACATGTTCGGAACCTAAATATACAGAAAATGTATGTGTGTAAATATAAGTAAAAGTTATTCATTATCAGTGAGGAACCTATGCAGGTTGTAGAAGTTATTCTTGTTATGGAAGAAGAAAATACAGTAGGTTATAAGCCAAAATCAATTTTCCCTGAATTAAAAGAGCTAAGTGGTGTACTAAGAATCCTTTCATTAGGTCCAGATAATCACTATCCTGCTTCTCTTTCCTAGAAAGAAAGTCAGAAAAGCTACTTCTTTAAAATTTATCCTTTTAAATTTGTCTAGAAGAATAAGTAAAGGGCTGTGCATGATGGCATAAATTTTTAATCCCAGCCACCTGGAAGCAGAGGCAGAAGATAAATTCTAGGCCAGCTTGGGTAATGTAACAAGACCCTGTCTCAAAATAAAATAAAAAAGAAGGGGAAGGGGCTAGGGCTAGCTTTGTGGTGGAGTGCTTGACTGGCATGTATAACCTTGGGTTTAATCTCTAGTATCATTGGAAAAAGAAGAAGAAAAATTAAAGGGAATTTGTAACACATACTAATTTTGAAGTATGTCTGATTTTATGTGAAGAATCAGTGGTAGATGGGGCTGGGGTTGTGGCTCAGCGGTAGAGCGCTTGCCTAGCACGTGTGACTTCCTAGGTTCGATTCTCAGCACCACATACAAATAAGTAAAAAACAATTCATCAACAACTAATAAAAATATTAAAAAAAAAAAAAAAGAATCAGTGGTAGGGTCTGGGGTTGTGGCTCAGTAGAAGAGCACTTGCCTAGCATGTGCAAGGCCCTGGGTTTTGATTCTCAGCTCTGCATATAAATAAAATAAAGGTCCATTGATCAAAAAAGAAAGAAAGAAAAAAGAACCAGTGGTACTCTTGCTAATTTGATAGACCACTGAAATTTCTTCTTTTTATAGTCAACACTTTCATGAACATTCAAAAATCTATAACTCCCTTTTGTAATTTCCGGGAAATACATGCAGTCTTTCCAAATTCTATTAGAATGTGCCATGCTTGAAGAGGGCATTAGGTGATGGTACATGATGGGAAGAAAAGATGTTTTAGGACTACCATCTACCTGAATTGTGCCCAACGGAAATGAAGAGTCAGAAAATATTCTTTCCTGATGTTTTTTATTTGCTATATAAGGCAAGGAAATAGCTTTTTTTTTTTTTTATTACTAAACTGAACAATAAAAAGGGCATGTCAACTTTTTCTTTGTCTCTCAGAAGCCCTTGATCTCTGTAGAATAGATTGATAGGAAAATTAGTAAACCCTTTTCTTGTTGAATTTGGTCTTTTGGGAATAAAGTGTACTCAAAGTCATTGCGTCTTGGCACAGAATACTAGAGAGAAGTAAGATAAATTCTGATACCATCAGAATAAAAGAATTTGAATTTATTTCATTATGTCAGAGACTACTTAATGTTATCAGTAACCTGTTCCCTCCTTTTGCATTCAACAAGGAATGCATAAATTAATGACATATTTAAATAGAAGAAATTATACTATTAAGGTTTATCTGATGCATCCCAGGTTATCACTGAGGAAATAGCTTAGATGAAATCTAAATCATTGCTGAAAAGAATTTAAGACTTTAGTAGAAGTATGTGTTGTATTTATATATGTGTGGCTATCCCCTTTGGTAGCAAATTATTGCCTTCATGTTCTTGACTTGGACTAAATTGTTTTCAGTTAAAAATGAAACAAATCTGTTGGAGTTGTAGCTCAGTGGTAGAATGCTTGCCTGGCATGTGTGAGGCACTGGGTTTGATTTTCAATACTTATATATCTATACAAAGGTCCACTAGCAACTAAAAAAAATATTAAAAAATAAATCCAGTGTATCTGATAATGGTACCTGCCATTGACAAAACAGTGATTGTTGAATTTCACAGTTGTCATTTTTGCTTAAGAGAATTCAGTAATGTGGTTGTCTTTGTAATTTTGAAAGCCATATATTTTCTTGAGTCTGGGCTTCTGAAAATTGAACTTCATGTGTTCTGACAAGTGTTCTTGGTCTAAGATTTGTGGAAGACCTATTTTGTTTAGTGATTTTTTAAATTTGGTTTTTATTCTTTTGGTGGTGCTGGGGATAGAACACAGGGCCTAGTGCATGCTAGGCAAGTGCTGTACCACTGAGCTATACTCCCAGCCCAAGACCTGAGTTTTTAAATTTCATTCTAATCATTAACTCTGGGCCAGATTCTTTAGGAATTTAGGCATAAAAGCAGTCCTGTCTATGCTACTTACATCATGGGGTAATTATGACACTGAATCAAAGGGGCCAGATACTCTTACCTGGGAGGCCAAGGTGTCTGTCATTCAACATAAATTTTCTGTTGTTTGTTTTAATTTGGGGAGGTGAGTACTGGGGATTGAACTCAGGGGCACTCAACCACTGAGCCACATCCCCAGCCCTATTTTGTATTTTATTTAGAGACAGAGTCTTACTGAGTTGCTTAGTGCCTCACCCTTGCTGAAGTTGGCTTTGAACTCACAATCACTGGGATTATAGGCGTGTGCTGTTGCACCCGGCCTTCATTTTAATTTTTTAATGAATCAGACAGCTGTTTCAACTTAAAATCTCTGATGATTACTGGTAGTAATAGAAAGGGTCTGGCATAGTGGTACACTCCTATAATCCTAGTAACTAGGGAGGCTGAGGCATTAGGATCACAAGTTCAAAGCCAGACTCAGCCATTTAATGAGCCTCTAAGCAACTTAGCAAAACCTTGTCACAGAATAAAACAGAGCCAAAGATGTAGCTCAGTGGCAAAACAATCCTGGGTTCAATCCCCAACACTGCAAAAAAGAAAAAGAAAAAAGATGGAATTTACAAAGTTTCTAGTTACTACATTATATATAGGTTCTGTTTTTGGTGTGGGGGCAGTGTTATCAGTTGACCACTGAGCTACATTCCCAATCCCTAAATTGTTAGAAGTTTTCTCTTGTGTTTTTTTCTACCCATCGAATGTGTTCCCCCCCCCCTTTTTTTTTGGTACTAGGGATTGAACCCGGGGGCACTCAGTCACTGAGCTGTACCCCCAGCCCTTTCTTTCTCTTTAAGATATAGCTCACTATGTTGCCTAGGCTGTCCTTGAACTCACAATCCTGCTTCAGCCTCTGGAGTAGGTTTACATGCATGGGCAAATGCACCTGGCTAGCTCTTTGCATTTATTCTCTATTAATTTACATATTTATGTGTATATTTTTTCTTCCTAGTACTCTTGTCCATCTGTTCTCTGTTGTGTGATCCCAATCCAGATGATCCTTTAGTGCCTGAGATTGCTCGGATCTACAAAACAGATAGAGAAAAGTAAGTATGCCTCTAGACGGAAAGCTATCATGGTGGGATGGAAATGTTTGTCTCAAAGCTTTCTTGTCTAAGGACTGAACATATGCCAAATATCTTAAACGAAGTCTTAATATACTTTCCTGTGAACAAGAAAGAGGAGTGTTTGCACTAAGTATCATTATAAATAGATTATACTGATTTTATCTCTAGTTGTTTCGTTTCTCCTGTTTAGATAAACTTTACTACAATACATTTTCCATCATCTTTACATCTTATGTTTAGTTTGTTGTTGTTTTTTTTAGAACTTTTTAATATTTATTTTTTAGTTTTCAGCGGACACAACATCTTTGTTTGTATGTGGTGCTGATGATTGAAGCCACACACATGCCAGGCGAGCGCGCTACCGCTTGAGTCACATCCCCAGCCCTTATGTTTGGTTTTTGACATAAAATAATTTGCATCAAGTTCCCATTTGTTTTGCATAGGTATTTGTAAATTAATGGGAAAGAAAATTGATATTTCTACCAATCTAAGGGAAGAATAACAAATTACCTACGGAATATGAAAGCCCCAAATTTCTTTTAAAACAAAACTTGAGGGCTGGGGTTGTAGTTCAGTGGTAGAGTACTTGCCTCCCATGTGTGAGGCCCTGGGTTCAGTCCTTAGCACCACATAAAAATAAACAAATAAAAATAAAAATTTTGTCCATCTACAGCTTAAAAAAAAAAGAATTTAAATGCTTTAGAATTGTATACTGTGAATTATTGAAGAGTGGTCAGAATATCAACAGATAGTGTTCTTTCTATTTTGTTTTATGTATTAATCAGTAGGATTGTAGGACGAACTAGATGGAAGCAGATGGATATTTTTCTTAAGTTAAAATATAAAGGATTGGCTGGGTGTGATAGTACATGCTTATAATCAAGCAACTTGGAGGCTGAGGCAGGAGGATCAGAAGTTGGAGGATCAGCAATTTAGTGAGACCCTTTGCAACTTTTAGTAAGACCCTGTCTCAAAATAAAAAGGACTAGGGATGTAGCTCAGTGGTCAAGCAACTCTGGGTTCAATCTCCAGTACCAAAAAGAAAAAGAGGTGTGTATGTATATATATATATATATATACACACACATACATACACATATATAATTAAAGAATTATTTGAATTTTGATGGATTAGAGAGACATAGTATTTTGTGGGTTGTTTTTTTTTTTTTGATGGAGCTTAGTTTTGTTTGTGTTTAGGTCCAAATAGAATTGTAGTCTTGTGTTTCTGGCTGCATTCAGAATAAAATTACATTGTCCTTAATTTTTTTTTTTTAAACTAGCCATTTTGCCTACTGCCTAGAATTGTGGCCATGAATGCTTACCAGAAGGCAGATCCTAAGTTATTGTGGTAGTAATGTTTACCAGAACTTTTCTGCATCCGCCCCCCCCCCCGCTGGATTTTGTGTTTGTTTGCCTTTTTTTTTTGCTTGGGCGGCTACCAGGAATTGAACATTGAACTCAGCGATACTCAACCACTGAGACACATCCCCAGCCCCGTTTTATGTTTTATTTAGAGACAGGATCTCACTGAGTTGCTTAGTGCCTCACTCTTGCTCAGGCTGGTTTTGAACTGGTGATCCTTCTGTCTCAGCTTCCTGAGCTGCTGGGACTATAGGCATCCACCACCATGCTGGGTTTTGTTTGCTTTTTTGTTTTCAGATAGGTCTCCCTATGGTGCCTTAAACTCCTGGGCTCAAGCTGTCCTCTTGCCTCAGCCTTTGAGTAGCTGGGACTAAAGGCACTTGCCACCATTCCTAGCCTTGCTTATCTCTCTCTCTCTCTCTCTCTCTCTCTCTCTCCATATATATATATATATATTTAGTTGTTGATGTACCATTTATTTATTTGTTTATTTATTTATGTATATGAGGTGCTGAGGATCGAACCCAGTGCCTCATACATGCTAGGCAAGTGCTCTGCCACTGAGCCACAACCCCAGCCCCACATTTCTCTTTTAGTATAAAAATTACAAACTACTGGAATGTTTTCTGGAGTAGTAAGCCCATACATTTTGTCAAGCAAAGTTAAGTTCTTTCAGAACCAGTTATTTTATTGATATAAATGAAAGCATGATGTCAGTTTAATAACTGTTAGTATATGATTTGAAGAATCATACAATGTAGAATTCCAGTTTTAAAAACTTCAAATAAATGAATTAAAGAGAGTTGAAGGTCTTTCGTTGAAATAGGTCAATCAAGTTTACAAAAAGTACATGCCAGCAAATGCTAAAATTTAAGTAAAATTCTCCATAAGTATCATTTACAGAAAATTATTGTGCATTTTATAGGTCTTTCCTGTTACCATTGAGTAAAGGCTCATTATAAATTTGAGGTAGCCCAGTGTGATTGTACACACCTGTAATCCTAGCTACTGGGGAGGTTGAGGTAGGTGGATTGCAAATTTAAGGCCAGCCTCAGCAACTGAGACCCTGTTTCATAATAAAATAAAAAGGACTGGGGATGTAACTCAGTGATAGAGTGTCCCTGGGTTCAGTTCCCAGTATCATCAAAAAGAAAAAAATTAAGGTTAAAATAAGGTAGCTTTGCTAGAAGTTATTTCCCTCAAGTTATTAGATGGAATAATAAATAAAATCTGTTGCTTAATAACTGACTCCTCACCTATGTTAAGCCAAGCTTCTCTTTGTGTGTACAGGTACAACAGAATAGCTCGGGAATGGACTCAGAAGTATGCGATGTAATTAAAGAAATTATTGGATAACCTCTACAAATAAAGATAGGGGAACTCTGAAAGAGAAAGTCCTTTTGATTTCCATTTGACTGCTTTCTATGAGCCCACGCCTCATCTTCCCCTGTGCACATGTTTACCTGATACAGCAGTGCTGCGTGTTGTACATACTTGGAACAACAAACTAGAAATACTGTACTTCTGTACCAACATTGCCTCCTAGCAGAGAAGTGTGTGTGTGACAAGCCAATTCTCCAGGCAAAACCTAGGTGTGAGACTAAAAAATTCTCCTTATTGACTTAAATTTGGATAACTACAAGGTGTGAGGAATGGTGGGTGGTACACGGTGTATGCTTGGATGGGGTAAAGCTCCACTGACCTGTAGGAGATTGTTTTTAAGTGGAATCCATTTAAACTCAAAACAGTTATGAAATGAAGAACATGTAGCTGTTTCTGTATTAATTTTATTCCGAAGGACCTACAACTTAGGTGAGAAGGTTATGACCAACCAGATTAAACTCTACCCACATCCTATATTTTAAGGTCTAAGTTTAACTGGTCAGCATTTAAATGGATTGGAGCTATTAGTATATAAAGTGTGATGGGCTTTGTTCCCAACTTCTTTTACATCTCCCTGCCCCTTCAACCTTCGTCCTTTCAGCACCTTTCTCCATATTCTTTGGTTTGTATGTGGTTTCTCAGTTAATACATAGCTAATAGCTCTTATTTTTCTTATGTTTTTAACTGCTTAGGTCTATTTGGATGTAAGGGTGAAAATTCATTTGATGGAAATACTTGTGTATATTTAAAGACCCAATTGCTCCTCTGGAGCTTGTACGTTCAAGAATGATTAATCTGTGTAATAAACTGATTACTACAGTCATTACATATAATTTTGTGTGAATAGGCTTTTTGATTTTAAGAACTTTGTCTAGCTGAGATTAGTGGTGGATTTTCTTTCTCTCCTGAAATGTTTTCATTGATAATGGTTGCATTTCAAAATCATGAAACAATTTCAGTTTACCTAGAAAAAAGGACATCTTGAGCAGTTTTATTGAACAAAGAGAAGCATAAGCTTAAAAGTGTTTTCATGAAACGTATGTGCAGCATTCCAGGAACATGACTGTTAAACTAAATAAGAAATTTGCTTTATTAATGAAACTAAGCTGCATCACCAAAACCTTGTGACATTCCCTTGGTACATAGGCCATAAAACACAAAGGCGATGCTATTTGGTAAGTTAATCCTCTGTGATTGTAATTTTAGAAGAGCAACTTTGACCAAACCTGAGCACAATCTTGTATTGGAGCGTCTACATAATTACTTTGCACTAACATTTGTAGGATGTTCATCCAATTTTAAATTGTACTATATGTGGCTTTTTGAAGTCTTCCCTTGACTCTGGTAAAATGTAGTTTGAAACTTGTAAACAACTGTATCTGTCAGAAACATCATGTGTGTGAACTAGGCAAATTACCATTCCCCACCCCCCTTCTTTTCCTAATTTAAATGTAAACCAGGCCAGCCTGAAGGCCTTGAATGATGCTCTCTAGCCATCAGGTTCTTTAAATGCATCTTTACACTCTTGCACAAAAATTGAGGAATAAATGTCCACTGCTTTTGGTTTTAAACTTGGTCACCTTGTCTTATCTCTCAGTGTCACTTCTCCATCTTAGAAAGAACCTACCTGTGATACAACCTAAAACCCTCTTTAAGTTCTGCATCTTTGGATGGCTGCTTATAAGCATTTCAAGGGTGCTTATTAGCATCCTGAACCTTGTAGAAAAGGCTTAACTATTAATAGGTGTGGGAAAGGAGTGAGGATGGAATTTGAACCTAAAATCACCTTATTTAGTACCATGGGCAGGTGGGAATTTGGTTGTGGGTTTTTTTTTTTTTTTTTTTTTTTTGAGGAGGGTTGTGGGGTTTTTTTTTTTGTTTGTTTTTGTCCAGTTTTGGGGATCAGGCCCAGGGCCTTACACACTTGGCATATGCTAGGAAGGTGCTCTGTCACTGAGCTACATCCCTAGCCTGAAGAATTTATCAGTTTTTGACTTGCTATTAACTCTGCTGTTGACTGTGGGTCAGCTGCATAGATCTTGAAAGCCTTCTTTATTTGCCTCTCATCTAGTGGTAAAAAGCAAACCGTTTATTACCACTTATTAGATCATAATGAGAATATTTTCACAAGGGTGCTATAAAGTATTTTTGTGCTACATGAAAGCTGCCATCCTGGTGTGCAGGTGCCAGATTAAAGGTTTGGATGGTCACAAACAACATTAAGCTCTTGAGTGAAATTTCATTTAGTCTTGCTCATTTGAGAATTATACACACTTGGTTCAGTCATGTGCATGTGCCTTGCCCAGAATGAAGGCCACCTTTGCCACTCAGAAAAAAATTGTTACTCAGGGTGGTTCTCATCTAGGAGCATGTTGCTCTGTGGCTTTCTAAAGCTAGTTTGCAGCAACCTTGATTATCTTCAAGCAATAGTTACAAGGGAATGTTAGTGTATGGGTTTCCTTTCGTTTGCTTCTTTAAAAACAGGTTGAAATACTTTGTCAAGTTAGAGTTGGATCAGTTTCTTTTGGTAAAACTAAATCATTTCAGATATTTGCATGCTGTTATTGGTCAGCAGTCAAAGGGAGCATTGTCCAGTTTGTTTTTCTTTCTTTGTAGTGGATATTCAACCCAGGGGTGCTTTATTATTGAGCTACATTCCCAGTCTTTTTTATTTTTCATTTTGAGACAAGTTCTCACTAAGTTGATGAGGCTGGCCTCAAACTTGTCTCCAACTTGTCTCCGTTAGCCTCAATATCCTGGATTATAGGCATGTGCCATCTTGCCTGGTTTATCCTGCAGGTTTCTACACTTTGCCTAGAACAGTGACTTGGAAGGGCTATAGGGATGGGAATGGTGGGAAATTCTGTAGAGAAGGAAAACTCGATGGTCAGAGAAGGGGACCTTTCTCTGCACTGACATAGCTAAAAAACAGAAGCTTTCCTTTTCCATTTCCACCTGCTGCAATATTCTACTTTCTAAGTCATTCCTCTTTGCCTCAACAAGTTACTTTGAAACCTAGCTGGGTTGTCAGGAGAAATGGAATACTGCTTTTTTTGGTACTAAGGATTGAATGGGGGCAGGAGGGACTTAACCACTGAGCTATATTACCCAGCCCTTTTTATTTTTTATTTTGAGATAGGGTCTCACAAAGTTGCTGCTTAGGGCCTTGCTAAATTGCTAAGGCTGGCTTTGAACTTCTGAGTGTCCTGCTTCAGCATCCCAAGGTGCTGGGATTATAGGCCTGTGCCACTCTGCCCAACAGAAATGGGTTATTTCTAAAGTACAGTTAGAATGCTTATAAACATTGTCTGCAATTAAGGTGAAATGCTGGCTTTTTCTTGGTGTGCTCTGTAGTGCTCCTTAACATGCCGTGATGAGGTTTTAATAGAAGAAGTCTCTTCTGTTTCTGGTCTTCTGAATCAGGAATAGGCATCTTTATTACCCCTACAGCAAATTTTGTCACTAGTGTTAAGAATCCATCTTTGTGCTATGCACATACTCAGATGAAAATTGGCTTCCTCTTAAGTTCTCTTTACCTCACAGAAGTCTTCGTAAGCCTTTAACTGACACTGTAACTTTACTTAGCTGAAGCTGGTATAGTGGTACATGTTCAGGGACCTCTTAATATTTCCAGATCGATTCCTGGGCTGAGCTTAGAAAAATAGGAAAACCGGCTGGGCACAGTGGAGTGCACCTGCAATTGCAGGTACTTGGGAGGCTGAGGCAATAGGATTGCAAATTTGAGGTCAGCCTGAGCAACTTAGCAAGACCTGTCTTAAAATTTTTTTAAAAATAATAAAAAGAGCTGAAGATATATCTCAGTGGTAGAACATCACTAGGTTCAATCCCCAGTACTATAGGGGGAAAAAAATGAAAGAAATAGGGAAACTGTTCAGGAGATCATATTGTCAGGGTTAATATTCATGAAATAGTTCCCTTATATTTTTCTTAGTCAATATAAGTGGAAAGGTTTAGACTTACTTAAAGCCTTTAAGTCCTTTAGCCTTATATAATACTGTTACCAACCAGCTTTTACTTTTTCTCAGTGACTGCTCTTGGGGTGGTTGAGGCCAGATCAGAAAAAATGACCAATTTTATTTTTTAAATATTTGTGGGGCTTTATCTGGTCAGAGGCATAATATAATCAGCCTCTTAGCAGATGTAAACCATAAAAGAGCTTGGGTTGTAGCTCAGTGGTAGAGCACACGTGTGAGATGCTGGGTTTGATCCTCAGCACCATATAAAAATAACAAAGATATTGTGTCCATCTATAATTAACATATATTTTTAAAAAACTATGAATACCATCTTCCTAAGACAGCAGTTTTAGTAGCCATCTTCAGGGCTGGGAATGTAACTTGGGGCAGAATGCTTGCCTAGCATGGGTTCAATCGCCAGGACTGCAGATGTATGTTCTTTGATTAAGTGGTTTTGTGTTGTTTGCATATAAGCCTACTTGTAGAATAGGCTTTTCCAGGGCTGGCATGCCTGATTGCCCTACATTGTACTGTGGAAGCAAATGCTTGTCAGACGTGTTGATGCTCATCAGCGACTAAAGGATAAGGCAAGGGGATTGCAAATTTAAGGCCTGTCTCAGTAATTCAGTGAGACCTTGTCTCAAAAAATAAGGACTGGGGATGTATGTAGTTCAGTAGTAAAGCACCCCTGAGTTCAATTCCTGGTACTTTAAAAAAGGGGAGGGGGCTGGCAAATGATTTACCACTTTTGTAAAAACAAGAAGAAACAATTGAATGCCCAAGCTAGTTGTCCTATGCTGCTGCTATACAAGGAAGAGTAGCAGCAGCTTTGGTGAATGTACCATGTTCTCTTTCAGACTTAAGATTTGAGGGGGAATAGTGGCTATTTCCCCAGGCACATTTCTGTCTATCCTAAGATAGGTGTTCTCAATGTTCTCCTATTTGAACCTAAGAGGACTACCACCCCCATTGTTTTTGGAGGTACTGGGGATTGAACCCAGGGCCTGGTGCGTGTTAGGCAAGAGCTTTACTACTGAGCTATATCCTCAGTCGTTTTCATTTTGACACAGGGTCTCACTAAGTTGTCCAGGCCAACCTTGAACTTGTGATTTCGTTCCCTCAGCCTCCCTAGTAACTGCGATTACAGGCTTATGTCCCTGAGCCTGACTAGTACTTATAAATCTTGAATCCTTGTGAGTTGTTTGTGTGTGTGTGTGTGTGGGGGGGGGGGTGCTGGAGATTGAACCCAGGGCCTCTTGAACCACTGGGATTACAGGCATGCACAATCCAGCCACAAATCTTGAATCTTTACAGGTATCCCCCCCCCCCCAAATTGCAGGGCCTCTAGGGAATAAAAGTGAGTGGGAGGGGCTGGGGTTGTGTCTCAGTGGTAGAGTACTTGCCTTGCATGTGTGAGGCACTGGGTTCAATTCTCAGCACCACATATAAATAAGTGAATAAAATAAAGGCCCATCAACAACTTAAAAAAATTTTTTTTTTAAATGGGAGGGTTTAGTTATGTTAACCCTAAGACTAGCTATTCCCCAGATTGCCAGCTTTCTCAGGTTTTCCATAGATAATGAGGTGGCTTTGGAGGGTTCTAGAAAAAGCCCACAAATACAATCAGACATTTGGGCTCCAGAACCAGCACCATACCGTGTCAGAGGTAAGAGAAGTTTGTATGCTTAAAGTAATTGACAAAAGTTGGGCAGGGGTGTCTGGAGCTTCCCCCAACTGACCCAAGGAACAATACTGGTATGGTTCATCTGGATAGTTTCCCCTCAAGCCAGGGGGAAAGTGTGGCCATCTTTGAAAGTGTGATTACCTCAAGGATGTTTTATAGAGTTGAGGGGAGCTATTCTTGTTTTAGAGGTCATTCAGGGCTTCCTGCTGCAGAGTGACTAAAGGATCTCTAGAAGCTAAGACTTTCCCAGACCTGCCAGTAAAGTTGAGCTTTTTGGAAAGATGGCTCCAGTTCAGCTGTGTCCTCCTTTGTAGGAAACACCGGGAGGGCATTTGAGAAGAGGTTGGGGAGGTTGTGGTGCATTATTACGAGTAAGGGGGTAGGTTCTCCGCAGGTGGATTCAAATCTCTAAGCCACATAGAAAGGACACGTTTGAAGTTTTAGACTTATATTATACTTGGAGGTGGTGGGGGAGAATTGCCCTGTCACATTGGGTCCCTAGGTGGTTTCTGCTCATTCTGCCCCCAGTCCAGCCCTGACTCAGGTGACAACTGATGTGGTTACATTTCAATGCCTGCAGGTGGATTTATCAGGTAAATACAGGTGCCATTTACCAGGTTGGGGAGTGAAGGTGGCCTTAGTTTCTGAGTGGATGCTAGTGCCTGAGTGGCCAGCAGAGGGCAATGATGACCCATAGCTTTAAACAGCTGTAAAGTGTACAGTCAGTGAATCTGCATGGACAGAACCTGAGAGGGGCTTTTGTTGGGGTGGAGAGACTTCTTCTGGGCTTGGCTTTTGTTTGATGTGTCAGTAACCAGATGAGTCAGTGCCTGGTTCAGTCAGGTTCTAAGAGAACCTTACAGTGAGGAAAACAGGTTAGTGACTTATATTCCATCCAGAGGCCTACCAG